AACATTCAAGAGCAAGAACAAGCAAAATTAGACAGTTTAAATAAATGTTGTTATTTGTTGCTGCTGAGCTCCAAGTTTATGACCATACTGGTTACAACCTTTTCTTCTATATCATTAAACTAAAAACACATGCCCATGTCACACAGTTTTTTCAGTGCTAACAATCCAGCCAGGGCCTCACACATGCTAGGCAAGTGCCCTACTACTGTGCTACACTCCAGCCCTGAGTACAACTACTTTTTTCAATCCCCTAGAATGTTAGATCCTCTTCTATTTATAATTATTTTTTAACTAACACATAAAAATCGCATACATTTATGATGTACAACATGATGTTCTGAAATATGTTTACACTGTGGAAGAGCTAGAACAAGCTAATTACACATGCATTATTTCACATACATTTTTCTTGTGGTGAGAACCCTTAAAATCTACTCTTTCAGCAATTTTCAAGTTGAAAATGCTATTAATTACAGTCACAGTGATGAACAACAGAACTCTTGACTTACTTGATGAAATTCTATATCCTTTGACCAACATCTTATCTTCCCAGTCCTCCTTGCCCTCTCCTCACCCCCCATATTTTCAGAAAAGAAAACACTGGACATCAACTGAGTTCTAGAATATCAAGTCCTTTCATGTCTCATGCAATCCTGCAGCCTCCATGGAAGGTGAATAGTTTTATCTTTCTTTTACAAAGGAAGAAGCAATTTATCTAAGAGAATGCTGCTTCTGGCTATGTCTCCTCCACAGCAAGAAAGAAGATAAAACAGTGTCATCCCAGAGAGACCAAGACCCCACGTGGACTCCTGCTTCCAGAACAGGTGAAACCCTCTAGAAGAAACTGCAGGCATGCACCTTTTTCTTTAAAATTCCCTCTCTCACAGCAAATAGCCAAAATAAAAAGATGTGCTCATTTCCTTCTTCTTTATAAAAACTGAGGTAGATGGAAAGCAGCCTTCCCAAAAACCTTCATAAAAGATTATCTACAAGGGAGTTCAAAGTGTCTTGTACAGATGACTGTTAATAAAACATAAGGCTAAAGTCGGACTTTGTGCTTTTTGTGGTACAACAAAAAGTAAAAGCAGAGAATATTTTTAACTTTTCAGCCTAAAAGGATTTGACCAAAGGATCTTCTCTAAAGCTGGTTTTCCATGCTTCAATTGAAACTGACCAAGGTTATAAAAGAAGGTTATAAAATCATGTATCCATCAGAGAGTCTGCAATATAAACAAATAAGGCACTCCATGAGCTGGTCATTAGCAGTGGGGAGGACACAGCCATCCTCCAATTCTCACCCTGATGCCAACAAAGCAAGGAGACACATGAGAGGTACCTAGGCCAAGAAAGGACACAATGGCACCATGCAAAATTCCTTGTGGGACATTATTCTAGCAAGTGTGCCTTAGAAAACACTTATATTGGGCTGGGGTAGTGGCTCAGTGGTACAGTGCTTGCCTCACATGTGTGAGGTACTGGGTTCAATCCTCAGCACCACATATAAATAAATGAATAAAATAAAAGGTCCATCAACATCAAAAATATTAAAAGGAAAACGCTTATATTGGACTGGGGCTTACCAACAGCACAAAAAGCCTGGGTACCATTCTCAGTACAAAACAAAACACCGCCTTATGTTACATTTGATGTTCGCATACTGCATACGGCTGTCTTGGGATTTTCTCAATAGTTGACTCAATTCAGCTTCCCCAAAAGGCATAACTGATGCCCTAAGTGCTAATTTTGGAATAATGTAGAGGCAGGCAGAATGGAACGTTCCTGCAGTCCCACGTACCTGGGAGGCTGAGGCAGGAGAATCACTTGAGTTTGAGGCCAGTCTGGGCAACACAGTGAGACTTCATGGGGGGCGGGGGATAACACCATACAGGCTGGGAGTGTAGCTTAATAGAGAGCACACGCTCAGCATATGCAAGCCCTAGGTTTAAGTCCCAGCACACCCTCCCCCCAGCTTAAAAAAAAAAAAAAAATAGCTAGAGTTTATTTCCCCTCATGGTTTACTTTTAACACATAAATCTGATCAGAACAAAACAAAATACATACACAGGCATTTAATACTCATCTAAATTTATGTTAGGATTATGCATGTTTTGGTATTTTTTCTAATTTTATATTTAGAAAGGCCTGGTGTTGAAACAGATTAACCTTCTGGGAAAAAAATTTGCATTTTTTTCCCTAAAATTATCAGCTTGAGATATGCTGGGGACCAATGCTGAATGTTTTTATAAAGAGGTAATCTTGACAAATGGTAAAAATCCATATTTAATGTCATAAGCTGTACCTGCAAGTAAATAAAATGAGGTCAGCACTAAGTAACTAGAGATATCAAAAGAAGCAACAGCTTTCTCCACTTTCTAAGTGTATTAAGAATGGATCATGGCACTTTACTAAGTTATTCCAAGACAAAATAGTAAAATTGTTTTTCATTTCAAATCCTGCTGGAATTTTTTCCCTTCAAAGATAAAGAAAGTATTCTTTTTTTATAGATAAGAAAAATAAAACTTTAAAAATAATCAAGTTTGGCAGGAACTTTTAGTGCAAAATCACAGGAGGACTCCTGAATCTTATCCTGTATTCAATGATTTTGGATATGTATCTAGATCTTAAAAAAAAAAACTGAATAGAGATGTCCCACTTTAAAATGAAGTTATATATATATGGCAGAAGGTGTAACTCAGTGGTACAGTGCTTGCTTAATATTTAAGAAGTGCTGGGTTCAGCCCAACCACCCCAAAAAAGATAAAAGTATCTGAAAAGTGAAATAAAAAAATATATTTAGTGTCCAACTCTTCTGAAAAATAGCACTGTACAGTATTAGCAATTAGATTGATCAATCAACATATAAAGTCATAACAAAGCTTCTTATCAACATTCAATCTGCACAATGGTCACATAACTGACAAATCAGATGTTAGCCTGTATCTCACCCAGTTTATATCCATCACCTGACTTATAAGGACTTGAATTTAATGGAAAAGCACCCTTGTTGTTTCAAATATTTACAAGTGAGAAAACATTTTCCATTTGAAAAACACTGTAGAACAATAAATTTAACATCATGTACCTAACATGTAAGGAATGGCCATGACCTGAATCACATTTGATGTCACCTGTGGCTTCCACAGTCTACAGCATAAGCTACACTTCCAGAAGTTTACAAAGACAAATACTGCCCCTAAGAGCTCTAAGAAAGCTTTTTAAAAAATCCTTTAAGGAAATGGACAGAGAGCAAGGACTCAGTGGTTAGCACAATCAACTTCCCATATACAAGAGGCACCTAACAACAGGTGTCAGACGCTCCTCCCTGCCTGCTCCCCGCCTATATCCTCTAACTCCCACCTCAGAACTCTCCCAGTTTTAGTGGATGAGTGGATCCTATGGAAAGGATAGTGTTACAGACTAAATGTTGGTACCCATACCAAAATTCATATGTGGAAGCCCAATCCCCACTTGGAGGTAGATAGAGGTGAAACCACATTGTTACCCAATCTGCTTTGAAAGATGTTGACAATCATACACATTATCTCTCTATGTCTATAGAAAAGAATAACAAAGATTTTTAAAATAATAATCATGGAGCTGAGGCTGTAGCTCAGTGGCAGAGTACTTGCCTAGCATGTGTGAAGCACTGGGTTTGACCCTCAGCACCACATAAAATAAATAAATAAAAATATTCTGTCCATCTACAAAAATCATAATCATAATCATAAGCCAGGTTTGGTAGTGCATGTCTGAAATCCCAGCTATTTAGAGGGCTGAGGCAGGAGAATTGGGAGTTCAAAGTCAGTTTGGGTACCTCATCTCAAACCGTCCCATCCCCAAAAAAAGAGCAGCAGCAGCTACAGTATGATGAAATTCACTAACTCAGAGTCTGTGGAATCCAGGTGTTTGGAGTTAACATCTGTCTCTGCAGTGTGCCGCCGAAGCCCAGCACTATAGTACTAGCATTCTTACAGATATCTTAAGGAACTGGTATTGCTAGTCAGTAAAGCAATGACAGGGCTATAACTACTACATACAGTGTAAGAAAAGGATGTAACCAACCCAACATGGAAATAGTTATTTCTTCCAGTGGTGATGGAGTGGGCTGCCTGCTCTGCCTGGCTCACACAGAATCTAATACCAGCCCTGTTAGAGAGCTGAGGCAAAGACAAAGTTCAGGGGTCTGACACAGAGCCAAGCTGCAGCCTGCCTGAGGAGCACATCTGTAACTTCAGTCTCAGCTTTGCCAATCGAGCACAAACTACACCTTCAAGTAATAACCTTGAGATTTTTCTAAATGCTCCAAATATAAGACTTCTCCCTAAATCACAATGACTTCTTTTTTGTTTTATATTTTTACTCTTCAGTTGTAGTTGGATACAATACCTTTATTTTATTTATTTATTTATTTTGTTTTATGTGGTGCTGAGAATCAAACCAGGGCCTTGCGTGTGCTAGGCAAACACTCTACCACTGAGCCACAACCCCAGTCCCACAATAACTTCTTACAACAATGAAGATGTATGAGCAAGCCTTTACTTCTCTGGGCCCACTCAGATGAGGAATCAGGATGCAGTGACAATCAAAACTTCACTAATTACCCCTAAAGTCATTTGCCTAACTAACATCATCTTAGAAAGAATATTATATGAGTGGATAATAATGCAAGCATAAATAATAATCCCACATGCAAAATTTGCTAAGGGTTAGGACCAACTGTATACATGTGTCCCTGATAGAAAATTTAAATGCCAAAATCCACATGTTCTTTTTCTTGAAAGAGACATACTACCTTTGGCAAGGTTTCCAATATTTTTTCCTTTTCTCTTTTTGTTTTAGCCAATATATTTAACTAATTGTTTCCCAAAAGGTCAACTTCTGTTTTCTAGAAACATATGTTACTTGAGATGAGAAATATTTGATCTAAAAATACACTACTGTTCCCAGTCATTCCAAGAGCAGTGAGAGAACTAGGGGATTGAGTCCCTCTAATTACTTACTTGTTAAAAAAAGGTTCAATGAGTTTTGATCTGGCAGATACATGAATTTTTGGAGGACTGAGAAAAGAACCTAATGAAGAAAAGAAGCAGGGTTTTATACACAGTCATATGAACAAAGTCTGAAAGTTCAGACAAAAACACATGTAAATCAACAGTATGGTTCTACAAGGGTAAAAGGTACTCTCACTGACCAGGCACCTGACAATAGGTGCATGTCAGTGGCTCCTCCCTGCCTACTCCCTCCCATCTCCTCCAACTCCTACCTCAGACCCTCCCACTTCTAACTGGGCAAGTGGATCCTTGGAAAATGGCAGAGTTACAGACTGAATGTCTGTGTTCACCTCAAATTCACATGTGGAAGCTTTTTCCACAGCATGACGGTATTTGGAAGTGAGACAGTATTTGGAGGTAGTTAGGGGGACTGGTGACTTGATCAGAAGAGACACAGAGTTTCTTCCCCCAGCTCTCTACCACAGGGTGTCTGGGTCTGAGCAGACAGCCATTTATAAACCAGGAGTGGGCTCTCACCAGACCAGCAAAATATGCTCAGCTGGCACCTTGATCTTGGGCTTCCCAGCCTCAGAACCCGAGAAACAAACGTGTTGCTTAAACCCCCAGTCTATGGTAGTCTGCCCCAGCAGCTTGCGCTGATCCACTCGAGCCCACTGTGTATCTGACAGAAATGCATATGACAGAACCCTTTTTAACAAGTACCTAGGTAATTTGCCATGGAGATGAAGCACAGTCCTGTGATATAAGCATCATAGCCTGCCTCGTGGAGCTGTTCAGAAGCTGTGTCATAACTTGGAAAACCTTCTGCACTTTCTGAAGAGAAAAAAGGAAAAAATCATTTTCCCCAGGTCATCATGAAACACAAAGACTAGTTTAGACATAATGCCCAGTCAAATCCTGACTTCATTAACATGTGCTGCAAAATACCCTCAATAAGCAGGAGAAAAATTTCTATGTTTTAACTCTCTGTATACAAGACCTTAACAAACACACACACACACACACACACACACACAGACTATCGAGTGACTGAAAATGAGGGTTTTGGTGCAGACAACAGAAATACATTTCCAAAGACCCCACTAGAGGCCTCCTTATCCCACACTGGTGGGAGCTGCTCACAATCATGCATAACTCACCCAATGACAATTATTCCTCTTCTGATTGCTTTCTAAGGTCAAGAAAAGGAATTTCTTCCCTATATAAGATCATAACATCAGGACACAGCAAAGAGTAACAGCAGGACTCAGGAGTCACATTGTCTCAGCTTGAATCTCTGCTCCACAATTTGCTGTGTGACCCTAGGCAAGTCACTTCACCCCTGGCTCCAGATTTGTAAAATGGAGATGACAACCAAACCTCCTCAACACAATGCAAGGAAAGATCTTACCTAGGGTGTGGTGCATGGTAAATGCATAGTAAATACTCTCTATAAGTAGCCTGTTAACACTCTTCCCCCAAAATGAAAGACTCCAGTTCAGTATTGGTAACTCAAAGTCAACAATGTCCTCCACTATGTGTCCAAGCTTGGAGATCTAAAGACAATAGCACAACAACTCCAAAAATAGATCAGAATTTGCTGTAACATGGCCCTTAGATCATGGGGCCGCTTCATAGCAAAGACCATTTTATAACATGATTCTTTTGTCACACTGACATACACAGAAGCTGAGAAGATAAAGTCTGGGAAGAGCCACCTGCTTTAGACTAAATTCTCTTCCCAATACCAGAATTATATATGGAAATAACAGGATAAAACTATCACTCATAAATTTATATTATTTCCTAGAATCATTCAGAAATGAGAGTGAAAGAGGCAGAATAAAAACATGAATGAACAATGAAAAGAATGCAACTGTTTTCATGTCAATATGATGCTCCTTAAGAAGAATTCTTTAACCGCGTATTAAATATGAGGCTTAAAAAGTTTTTTTTTAAAGCCTTTAACATAGTAGCCACCTAATATTTTCCAATACTACCACAAGCTGAAACACATTATTTTCCGGATCAATTACTATATTATTACAGACAAGGTCTAGGTTTTATTTCCCCCTCCCCCCCCCCTTTTCTTAATTTCTTTCTTGGACTCTAACCCAGAAGGGAAAGCAAATATCTGTAATCTTGGCTGCTTTAATACCTGCCATTATCAGTTTTGAACCATTAGTCCTATTATGTATTGAGAAGTTTTCGGGCCACAGCTAAAGGAAAGAGAACTACAGTGTCTGCAGCATACATAATTAGGCTAAAAGGAACACGTAAGTAGCACCCAGAAGAATCACCAAATACCTTGGTGGTATTGGACATGGCTAAACACCTCCATCCCACAAGGAACATTCCCCCTGACTTTTGATTTCCCTCGATGCTATTTCCACTTCCTAATTTGGCTTAAAAGGAAACAGGGACAAGAGCTCTCCTTTAATCTCATCAGTAAACTCAGTTCTTGGGTTTTTCTGAGACAGAAAATATATTTTCATTCTACTCCTGGCAATTAAACACCAACTCTGCCTCTGCTTAAACAATGTACCATATAAAAGGTCACATCAAGTTCTGGGAGAACTCCAAGCATTAGGAAATAAAAGCCTTGAAGCTTTAGTTGCCAAATTTCTCAATGAATGCCTACCCAACTCTTTTAACATAAGACACATGTAAAATTAAAGACCATTCTTCTTCAGAAAACAGTAATTCAACACAGGGCACGAGTGGGCTAGCTTGGCCAAAATCTAAACGTGCAGTATAGTTCTAGCGCCATTCACCTTTCTTCTACAGTATGCATCATAACTATTACAAAGAGTTGGATGGTTTTCAGGTTTGTTTCGTATTCTTACCAACTTTAGGAGGGTTGAAAGGTGTTTCTTTTACCCGCTTTTCCAGTTCTGCAAGGGATGTGTTGTTAATGATATCCTGCAAATGAGGAAGTAGAGAGGCACAGCACTTCATCATCAACAGGCAACATACAGTAAAGAGATCCAGGGCTGGGGATATAGCTCAGTTGGTACAGTGCTTGCCCTACATGCACAAGGCCTTGGGTTCAATCCCTAGCACCACACACACACACACACACACACACACACACACAAAGTGTTTCTGGGTTGAGGTTGTAACTCAGTGGTAGAGCACTTGCCTGGCTCGTGTGAGACACTGGGTTCAACCTTCAGCACACATAAAAATAGATAGATAAAATAAAGGTATTGTGTCCATCTATAACTAAAAAGAAAAAGATTTTAAAAAAATCCACTTTTGGGACATGCATACAAATGGCATCTGGTGCTGCCCCCTGGTGTTCTTTAAAGAACAAGTCATCTTTCACTAAATGCAAAAGAGAAGCAAGTTTAATTTCACTCTATGAAAAGTACAACCATCAGGTTACAGTGGTTCATGCCTATAATCCCAGCAACTTAAGAGGTTGAAGCAAGGGCATCTCGAGTTAGAGGCCAGCCTGGGCAATCTGGTAAGACTCTGCAACAAAATGAAATAAAAAGGTCTGGAGACGTGGCTCAGAGGTAGAGCATTCGCCTCATATATGCAAGGCCCAAGGTTCAATCCCCACTACCAGGAAAAAAAAAAAAAAAAAAAAAGCAAACCAAATGGAAGGTTTTTACAGATGCATTAAACATCTACAGACCTTTCATCAGAAAGCTATGCTGTTCTGGTGTTCATATCAATTATATAAAATAGTTCTTCATAAAGTAGCAAAAGATCTAAATTTCCTTGATTAGAAAATTTATCCCAAATATGTACAAAAAAGGAAATGAAGAAAAAAAACTGTGCACATGTGCAACATACTCAAAAGTAAATAATATATTTAATATTAAAAATTATATTTGAAGAAAAAAGAAAAAAACTCACATAATCCCACTAGCCAAAGTCAACCCCTGTTCACATTTTTACATATTTGGGTGGGGTTTTTTTCCATTTTCTCTTTATTCCTTTATTTCTTCTTCTTTTTTCTTCTATATATTTGGAATAGCATTTAGATAGACCAGAATTCCAAAGATAATAATAGCAATTCAAAAAATTTCAAAGTATAGCTCATTAGTGATAGTTCAAATTTAAACACTACCTTAAAAGGTTGTGTGCTGGCCATCAATTTAGTATCCAAGAGTCTGAAAACAAAATATTTTTAATAAGGTAAACATAATTTGTATCAATGTTCAAAATGTATTTTACTCAAATATTTAAAATAATTTCATACATACAGTACATATTTAACATGCTTAACATACACCTAATACATGAAATACTTAACATATAATACACTTAACATGGAGAGAAGAACCAAGCACAGTAGCCGTTGAGGCTACCAGTGAAATCACTGCTACATTAACCTGGGGTCAAGTCCTATCACCAGTGACTTCATCAGACAGCTACAGGTAAGTCCCTGCTCTGACACACTAAGAGAATCAGTTCCAGGTTCGTCTGCACCCTGTGTGTGGTCTCTATCAACCTTAAAGGCAAGTCAAACATCCCCCTGTTTCCGCATGGTTCAAATACTGGTGTAGGTCTAACCTTCCTAAATCATTACTATCTACTGCTACTTACCCAGATTGGTATGAAATAAGTTCTTAGGGAGCCCAACTCTACATTCAGTAATTTCATGCTGTTGTTATTTCTTACTATTCTGTTTCAAAAATCAAAAATACTAAATAGAGAAAGAGACTCTCTGACCAATATGAAAGCTATATTTCTCTATTTCTTTTCACACAAAGGTGAACACTAAATAGTAAGACAGAAATAGTCCCTATTCAAATGGGTGGGCATGTGATCTATCAGACATGTGACACATCAGAACTAGGATGCAATTACCAACTGTGGAGAACACCAGCAGCAAAGGCACCGACTTAAAGTGGAGAAAAAATTTCTCCCTAGTCTGAATGGACAGAGCAGATGCCCAACAGGGTACTTCAACAGACAAGGTGTGTGCCAGGGATGTGAGGGACCACAGCCACTTTAGGAAAGCCTCACCAGCCCTTCAGAGGGAAAGGTGTGAGATAACAGAAGAGGAGTCATAGGCTGCCTTCCCACCCAGCTCAGACTCTGATTTAATGGGACAACAAAACCAATCATAAATTTAAAAAGTCAACTCCTCCAAAGTTAGAGAGACTAAATCATTTCCCAGCTTTTATGAACTGGATTCTAATCAGGGTCCATTGATTTTCATAAATTAGCATGTATCTGTTTGTATTATGTATGTCACAATGACTGTTTTATTTATTTTTTATTGAAAACAGCAGTTGGGTTCATTTCACAAACTCATACATACATGGAATTTGATTTCAGTTCACAAACCCCCCAACACCCAACCAACAGTGACTATTTTGAATGAACAATGAGACTTAAAGAAAGCCTACCTGGGGAAAACACATGTTGTCAGCTCCTTAAACTCATTTAAGTCCTAAAAAATACAGAGAATGACTTGTTACCATTTTCCAAATACACCCATGGTATTAAAAATAGACTTAAACATCTCAGGTGCATAGCTTTCCTCTCAAACAAACCATTATACCTCCTAGAGGCTTTAAGCTAAACGGTAAAACCCATCTCCAGGTAATAATTACATCTTAAAAACCTTCCAGTTTCCTCATTGATTGGGAATCACATGATCTGGGGACTAACCTTGGCATAACAAAACAGTCAAATATAAGGATTATATGACTGAAAGAAAAGAGGAGGGTTCTACTACATGTAGAAAGCTGTAGATCTGAGAGGCCTGTGAAACTGCTTGGGAAGTTCCAGTAATAGCCAACAGGCTGTATTCCATTACACAAATTTATCATAATAGTAGACTAGCACTGTCATTTACATTAAGTGGTTTATATAGAAAATGGATATATTGTAAACTAGCTTACACCTACACTGAGACAATCTTTGTTAGTTAAAATCACAATTAAAATACAGACTTTTCATTATGTATGACTCCTTCTTTAAGTACAAGAAAATTGCTAAAGTGTCACTAATACCAAGTGTCTAAGTCAGAAAATTAATTTCCCAAGTTTATTTTGATCAGGAAGTCTGCGGCAGACAGGAGAGTGCTCCAATTTTGAATTAACTCATTTACATACATAATTGCCATGCTAGACTGGATAGTCACACTGCTGACCCTTTATAAACAACACTTCTCTTCAAAGTTATTCATGCTTCATAGGAAACTGCCATTTCCAATTAGCTTTTCAAGCCTGTAAGTACAGACTGTATTTAGCTAGCTTGAAATATTTACCAGCCTTTCAATGGCTATTGTTAAATTAATGGACAATACATGAACAAGTGGTTTCAATGCTAAGGCAAACAAAAATGTCCGTCACTGTCAACTCTCAATACCACTGCAAAGTTTTACAAGCCAGAGAAAAGCAAAATTCAGGAATAACATACAGCAGAATTCTAAACTGACACTTGCTAAAAGATCACTCTGAGGTACCAAGAAGTCTCCTAAGAAGAAACTCTCCTGACCTAAAAGCTCCAAAATATGAATTCTTTAGTACACTTTAAATGCAAACTTTGGTGTTAGTCCAAGAGTCCTACCATCCTCATTTATTATCGTGATTTCTTCCAAAGGTAAATAGAGAAAAAACATTTTCTCCCCTTGACAATGACAGAACACAAATAAGCAAATTACCAAGATACCACTGAGCTACAACCCCAGTCCCTAGGGCAATCTTGCCTAGCATGTGTGAGGCCTTGGGTTCAATTCTCAGAGCAGCATATAAATAAATAGGTAGATAGATGATTGATAGAAAGAAAGAAAGAAAAAATAAAGGTACATCGACAACTAAAAAAAATATTTTTTTTAAAAACTGCCATAGTAATAAAGCAAGGGCTAGAACTGCTTATCCTATCCCACCTCCTGTGGCACACCAAATCACCTTCATTCTACTAGAACTTGATTCAAGTTAACACTTGTTAATTCTCACATACAAAGTACTCTGCCAGACACTTGGACAATGACAAGGTTACTCCTTGCCCGAGGAGATAACCACCAAGAAGAAGGGGTTACGCTGTACAACACAAGACAGAATTTACGGACCAGAGAGGTGCCAAGTTCTGCACCTCTTCCTCTGAGAAGGAAACAATCCCTTCATGGGCATGAAGGCAACAAGCAGGGGAATGTTCATGCAGGAGGCATGAGCTGGGCCTTGGGGGAAAAAAAGGTGAAATCATGGACTACAAACACTGAGGAAAGCTAGGGAAAATTCAAGTTGGTGGAAATCATACCAAGATCACAGATACGGAACGACCCAAAGCACTTCTTAGAGGAGAAATGAGCCCATGTGGCTGGAAAGAAGGAGAACAACAACAAGTGCTCAGACTACAGGAAAGTTGGGCTCAATCAGAGATGGTCTGACACGCCTGGCTAAAGAGTCAACTATATAGAAAAACAAGGTGAGAGTGTTTGAAAATTTTAATCAGAGTCAATGATATGGACAGAGTCATACATCAGAAGATTTAAAACACTAGCACAGTCAAAATATTCTCTTTTGTTAAATCAATATTACTGCCTCCTACGTGACAAGCTCTGTTTGGTATTCAAAACACCTGGCACAATATTATATATACTCCCCTCTTTCCTTACTGATAACTTCATTGCTTTAAAGGTCAACAAATCAGGAGAAGAACTGCTACTTTGGTCTATTTGGCCAGTAAGAAGTGGCTGATCTACAACAAATGTTGGGTCTTTAAAGGTAAAATGAAAATCTATTCCCATCATACTTGTTTTGAGAGTTACAGCTATGGAGCTTTTGTATTCCAAAGGGTGATAAAGTCATCGTGAAGAGTGGTGGCAACCTGAAGGCTAAGAACTAGGACAAGGGGAGCAACAGATCCACAACACCCAGCGGGCTGGGCTACACTCTTCTGAAGAGTGTTCTGTTTGCTAATGGGGAAACATGACCTAAGAAATGGGCAGTAAACAAGACTAAACTCCCCAGGGTCTTCCAATGCAGAACTAACAAAAGACTAACCTCATCTGATGGCATTTTAAAGCAAGAATTGGCAAACCATAGTCTTCAGGCCAAATCTGGCTTATCATTTATTTTTTTAAATAAAATTTTATTGCAACACAGCCACACCCATTTATTTATACATTCATGATAATTTGGGAGCTACAAAATAACAGAGAGCTGCCAGAGAGACCATACAGGCTGGAAAGCCCAAAATATTTCACTATCTGGACCTTTACAGAAAAAGACTGCCAACCTCTGATTTCAAGAATGGGCTGAATACCGAAAGAAAAAAAAAAATTCAGCCTGGAGTTTGCTGAACTGCAGGTAAGAAATGAGGCTATCTGCGGCAAAAACGGAAAGACCCCAGTCATGAGAAACAGCATGGGGATAGGATCATTAAGATTTTGTAATGGAACAGATCTGGGGACAGAGGAAGAGTCAAAACTGATATCAAAAACAGGATTGGAGGGCTGGGGCTCAAGCGGTAGCGCGCTAGCCTGGCATGCGTGCGGCCCGGGTTCAATCCTCAGCACCACATACAAACAAAGATGTTGTGTCCGCCGAAAACTAAAAATAAATATTTTTTAAAAAATTTTAAAAAAAAGGATTGGATACTCAGAATCACCTATACTAATAGAATCAAGAGAAAAATGGTTGGGAGACAGTATAAGGAAAGAAAGGTAGTGAAAATTAAATATCTCATGTAGACACATGAACAACCCATCTGAGAGCAAGCCAGCAGGAGAATCCCAGAGTCCAGCATGAAATGCACACACAAATCTGGGAGAGAGCATGGCTAGAGATAAATGTTGGTGTCTACAGTTGAGTTACAAAAATGGCCAATATCTGGGACTGCAAATTGGTGCAACCACCCTGGAAAGCAATATGGGGGTTGCTCAAAAAACTTGGAATGGAACCACCATTGACCTGGTTATACTACATCTCCATATATACCCAAAGGACTTAAAATTAGCATACTAGAGTGACATAACCACATCAATGTTTACAGAAGCTCAATTCACAACAGCTAAGAAATGTTACCAACCTAGGTGCCCTTCAACAGATAAGTGAATAAAGAAAATGTGAAATATCTACACAATGGAATATTACTCAGCCATAGAAAAAGGATAATTTTATGACTTTTGCCAGTAAATGGATGGATCTGGAGATTATCATGCTAAATGAAATAAGCCAATTCCAAAAAACAAAAGGTTCTCTTTGATATGCAGATTCTAACACACAATAAGGGGGGCAGAAATTCAGTGGACTAGACAAAGAAGAATGAAGGGAAGGGAGGGGGACGGGAATAAGAAAGACAGTGGAATGAATCAGAACTTTCTTATGTTCATATATGAATACACCACAGTGAAACTCCACATCATGTACAACCACAAGAATGGGATCCTATTTAGAATAAGTTATACTACATGTATTATAATATGTTAAAATACACTTTACTGTCATGTATATCTAGAAAGAACAAAAAAAGTAGGCAATATCACTAAAGGACAGGGAACATGGAGAGAAAGGAGTATGAAGGACTCCTTGTGTGAAGGTGGGGGCAAGGGAGATGTCATGCAGTTAGGAGCAGGAGTGCAAGAGCCTGACGGGGAGCCAGAGGAGTTCATGCCTGGTGAGCTTACCTGGCTCAAAGTCAGGGCAGTAGATGAGCTGAGGGAAGCCCTGAGCAGGAGGCAACCAAGAATTTCATAAAACCAGAGATTAAAGGTGATGAATTTGAGGAAGGCTACACTTCCAGTTGCTCTGTGGTTTGGGATTCAAGCACCAGGACTACTGCTTCTCAGTGAGGTGGGTGAGGGAGGGAGTACACTGAAACTCCATATCAGACAGTCAGCATCTCTTAAGGTCTCAGAAATTTGAGTGCATCAAAAAAAGAAGAAGACAGAGTACACCGGAGCCAGATAGCAGTAGCGGCGGCAGCAGTGTGGTTCCCCAGGGAGGGGAGGGATAAACACACAGAAACACAATGGACAAATTTGGCACAAAAAAACCTGTAGATGAAAAAAAGCAGCCTGAATTTAGCTATCCAGAGGCTGCACAGCAAACTGCTATCTAATAAGTGCTCTGTATTTTTCAACTGGCAAAGAACTAAGGCCAGGAGCCATGCTGAGGAGGCCACATTGCAGCTCGCTGCTGCCAGAAGCCCAGGAGACCACAGCAAACACTGCATACTGTCCTGGCAAGCGCCTACCCGGTGGCCTAGGGTGTACCTAGCAGAAAGTGACTGAAAAAGACACAGAAAAGATTGTACCCAAGGAGATTCAATCAGAAATACAGAAGGGAGTGTGACTTGCTTTCTCTTTGAGCCTGGTGGCTCATGGGACAGCTGATAAGGATGGAGAAACTGCATATGCAGGCGTGAATGCACTCAAGGACAAGACCGGCAGCTGAGTATGTGGGACGTGGGGAGGGCTGATTCTCCTGCCACACAGGAGAG